GGACTACAGGTGTGCATCACCACACTTGGCTAATTTTTCTGTTTTTTTTTTTGTAGAACAAGTCTTTGCTATATTGCTCAGGCTGGTCTCAAACTCCTGGCCTCAACTGATCCTCATGCCTGAGCCTCGCAAAGTGCTAAGATTACGGGTGTGAGCCACTGTGCCTGTCCTATATATATTTTTTTTTCTTTTTTTTTTGAGTCAAAGTCTCACTCTGTTGCCTAGGCTAGAGTGTCGTGGTGTCAGCTAGCTCACAGCAACCTCAAACTCCTAGGTCAAGCAATCTTCCTGCCTCAGACTCCCAAGTAGCTGGGACTACAGGCGTGCACCACCATGCCCGGCTAATTTTTTCTATATATATTAGTTGGCCAATTAATTTCTTTCTATTTATAGTAAAGATGGGGTCTCACTCTTGCTCAGGCTGGTTTCGAACTCCTGACCTCGAACAATCCGCCTGCCTCAGCCTCCCAGAGTGCTAGGATTACAGGCGTGGGCCACCGCGCCCGGCCCAGATTCATCCTTTTACTTTTTATTGCTGTTATCTGTATAACCTTTGTTAGTCAACTAAATATGCCTCATGCCTATTCATCTGTTTAAGATATTCTGGCATTGTAACAGTAGGAATGTAGAAGTTAGATCAAACTATCAAAGTCATATTGAGCTCCATTATATTTTTCAAGGCATCTAATTTGTAAAGGATATTGGATTAAGAAGCACAAAAGAAAACGATACACAAAATGTCTGAACCAATTGTATTTATTGCTAGAAACTTTAAACTTTTTTTAAAAAGTGTTTGAAAAGTAGAGAACATAGAAAAAGACATCCATAAAGGCAGGAAGCAATCTCATCATTTGCAAAGTGCTGCAAATTTGATAAATTTATGTTGCTGATAATAACTCAGAAGTACTCTTGGATGAACAGATAGAAATCTTTGAAATACTCGAAGCACAACAAAAAAGAATAGGACACCTACATGGATATAAAACACCGAAAAGGTAATCGAGCTTTTGGCAAATTGGTCATTAAGTGAACTGAACTTGAAGTAAACAAGTTTTCTGTGAATTGGTTTTAAGAGATCTAGCTTTAGATGAACTAGTTTCAGCCAAACTGACTAGAACTAAATCAAAGTGTTTTGCTCCCTCCAGCTCACCAAACCCCAGAATTTTGGAGTTGTGTTGATGTAATCTGGGATCCCTCTGAGAGGTAGCCGGTCTGGTGTGAGATTCAGCCAGGGAACCAAGTGTAAGCTCCTCATGCTTTTGTGCCCTACACATGGTGTCAGATATGGGGTCAGCCAGGTGCTTACCATAGTATCCTATCTCTGTATCTAAAGAGGTAGAAACTCTGGACCTTCTTCATTAGCTATTTCTTGGCTTTCTTCTAAGGACTAGGAGAATTCCTCATCCCTCTGCTGGGAATGGGGACCAGCTCTGGGTGACCCTGCTGCCTGGACTGCCTGTTTGTCAGGGATTCACATGGGCCTGGGAGGCTCGGCAGGTGCCTGTATTTGGTTGCTCTTCTCAGCTGGGGGAGGTAACGAGTGGGTCTCTGTGGATATGCAAATTACTGGGTGGGATGTCTAGGAAACTTCAGGCTAGCCACACTCCCAAATTTAGGTGCATTGAGCCCTATAGTCCAGTGCATGCACACAGGTGCATTGGGGAGAGAGGATTCCCAATATCTGCCACTCCCAACCTCTGAGGGTGGCATGAGTTCCAGAAGGTCTGCTTTCTCCAGCCTAGCAGTGGAGGTATCTCTCCTGGCTAGGGCCTAAGAGCCGTGTCAGTTCAGTCACAAGTACCGCTGTTCAGGGTCTCATGAAACTGAGAAAGACAGAGAGAATTAAAACAGAGGTGACTATAAAACAACTCCACCTCTACTCTTCTATCCTCATGAACCAGTTCTTCACACACAGTCATCAAGAGGATGACTTGTCTGATGACAAGTCCTCAGACATGTCATCCTCTTCAGTTACCTCCGCGGCTGCAAGTGCCCTCTCCCTGTAATCGTTCTATTTCAAACCCTGGCAACACACCTGCTCCTTCCCCCATAATTAAAGTCCATTTCTTTTTTTGATAACCCATTTACCAAAGCTCCTATTTCTCCTAGATCACATCATCAGACAAAGCCACAGTTGGCCTGGTCATTCTATAGGTGGTAACTGAACCTCACTTCATTTTTTCTGCCTTACCTTTTTGTCTCAGAAGTTAAATTTGTGTCTTGTGTCTTCACATAGTAGTCCACAAGCAGCTCTTGAATGATTCTCTGTAAATCTCAGACCTCAACCATGTTGTCTTATGCAGTCGAACTTCCTTCCATGCCTAGAAAACCCAAAAATCCCAGGTAAAAACCTCTCCTCTGGAGAATATTCCCTTCCTCCTATCATTTCTTCTCCCAGGGCCCTTACCTGAGCCTGCTCCTTTGCCAGGGTGAGGCTTAAGCCACTCTCGTCCACATGCTGTGAGAGGCTCAGGAGCAGCTTGCTGAAGTATGGGTTCTGTAACAGGTCCTCTTCACTCCAGGTTACAAGGAGGAAAGCTGTTTGCTGCACACTTAATGGCATGTCCCCCAGAGGGACAAAAAAGCAAAAAAGGTATGAACTCTTACTTTACATACATAATTGAGCATATCTTAATATTCACTTCCAATAAACCCCTAAAACCTAGGTTTTTCATAGGAAAGGTTTCTAAATCAAGCAAGATGTTTTTTAAAAAATCCACAAATAGGCTGGGCATGGTGGCTCATGCCTGTAATCCTAGCACTCTGGGGGGCCAAGGCGAGAAGATCACTCAGGTCAGGAGTTCAAAACCAGTCTGAGCAAGAGTGAGCCCTATCTTTTCTAAAAATAGGAAGAAATTAGCTGGACAACTAAAAATATATAGAAAAAATTAGCTGGGCATGGTGGCACATTCCTGTAGTCTCAGCTACTCGGGAGGCTGAGGCAGAAGGATTGCTTGAGCCCAAGAGTTTGAGGTTGCTGTGAGCTAGCCTGATGCCACAGCACTCCTAGCCTAGGCAACAGAGCAAGACTCTGTCTCAAAGAAAACAACAACAAAAAAACCCACAAATAAACTAAACACAATACTCAAGATAACAAGCATTTATGTTGTATACAGGGATATTAGTCAAGGGGGAATAAGTATCCAATAAAACTAAGATCTTAGAAAATAGAAATGCAGTAGGTTAATATTAGACAAAGAGAATCAAGAATAAGGGACTTTAGTAGAAATCACCACAGTATTCAAAATGCCTCATTCACCGCAGAATTACTAGAGTTCTTAAGGAAGGGAAAAAAACACATGTAAGTTACAAACTTTGGATGTGATCTCTAGTCCACATAAGCAAGACAGACAGAAAGTATAGTCTTTTTTTTTTTTTTTTGAGACAGAGTCTCACTCTGTTACCTGGGCTAGCATGCCGTGGTATCAGCCTAGCTCACAAAGCAACCTCAAACTCCTGGGCTCAAGCAATCCTACTGCCTCAGCCTCCCGAGTATCTGGGACTACAGGCATGCGCCATCATGCCCGGCTAATTTTTTCTATATATATTAGTTGGCCAATTACTTTATTTCTATTTATAGTAAGACGGGGTCTCGCTCTTGCTCAGACTGGTTTTGAACTCCTGACCTTGAGCAGTCCGCCCGCCTTAGCCTCCAGAGTGCTAGGATTACAGGCGTGAGCCACTGTACCGGCCTAACTAACCAATTCTTAACCCATATATGTACAGAACGGTACAGCATGAGAAAAAAAACAAGAAGTTGGGTCCTCTGGTTATTCCTATGTACAAGGGGCTTCCTTCCATCTCTTTTCCCATATGCCCTCTCCTGGGGTCTTTTACCCGTACTTACCAAAACACTCAAATTATCTTTCTTTTGAACATTATACACAAATTCCTTTTAGAGAATACCAACTGAAGGATTTGATATGGAAAGACTCTAAAGGTAGAAAATGCAAGTTCTTGAAGATATAAAAGGAGGCCGGGTGCAGTGGCTCATGCCTGAAATCCTAGCACTCTGGGAGGCCGAGGCGGGTGGATCACTCAAGATCAGGAGTTCGAAACCAGCTCTGAGCAAGAGCGAGACCCTGACTCTACCATAAATAGAAAGAAATTAATTGGCCAACTAAAAATATATAGAGAAAAATTAGCCAAGCATGGTGGCACATGCCTGTAGTCCCAGCTACTCGGGAGGCTGAGGCAGCAGGATTGCTTGACCCCAAGAGTTTGAGGTTGCTGTGAGCTAGGCTGGACGCCACGTTGGTTGGGGGGGGGGTGCACTCTAGCCAGGGCAACCCAAATGAGACTCTGTCTC